AAAAATGTTTAACCAGCATTGCTGTGCTAGGCAATCCCTAACAAGTCTGGTTAACAGGATTGGTTCTGTTTGGGTCCGTGCAGTGTTTAGAGAGCCTTAAAATGATTGTGTTCAACTACAGATAGCATTTGGGGATTTTATTGTGGAGGGAGGGAGGCTTTAAAAAAATAAATTTTAAGTTATTATGTCATATTTGGCTTTTTAGCCTTCATCTGTCCCATAGTGACGGAGTCGCAATATGAGTAAAAACTGATTAGGCCCAAGGGGATCCATTTTATGTAGCCCTTCGCTCCATTTATGTTCGTTGATAACTGCTCTATTTCTATTTTTTTTTTAAAAATGTATATAAGTTACTTAAAAGGCAAAAATATTTGTGATCCGTGTAAAGTGGATATTTTTTGAAACAGTTTTTCAGGAATTCCCAGATTTATTGCTCTTTCCTCAAGGGTTTCCAGATTATGAAGGTGTGAGTATGACTTTTAAATAAAGTGTGCATGTGTGGATTTGGCTTTTAAAAAAAATGTGTGTGTGGTTTTTTAAAATCGAATTTTATGGCTTTAAAGAAAAAAGTTAATATATTTAAATGATATTATGTCTCTCGTTTTAGGTTAATTTATCAGCAAATGGTGATATGAATCTACATCTGTACTTCTAAAAACTTTTAAATATTATCATGTAGAAATGATTTAGTTTGTGTCAAAAAAATGGTCATTTGATTTTAGATAGTGTGGTCTGGTGATACCAACGTTGCTTTATGTATTCTTATATGTAAAAAAAATTTTTTTTTTTTGGGGATTATGAAATATTTATCCACTGCTCAAGTATATGTGAATGACCCCCCCCCCCCCCCCCCCCCCCCCCCTCACCAATTTAATTTTCCTCTCTGACCTCTTTTCAACTTGTATTGTTATGCGGTCTTAATATTATGTAGTTGCCAGAATTAAAAAACAATTCACACATTTTATTGATGTCTTTTCCCATGTGGGTTCCAGGGCCCCATCTTGTGAGAAAAGGGGGGGGGGGGTGAATTAGACCCATTGTCCCTAACAAGTATGTTGTAAGAGGTGATTAATTGGGACCTTGCTGTGTGTTCATTGTATTTTTTCAGCATGGCAGTTGGCACCAAGGCATTCTGGTCAGATGGCTGAACCATTTTATCTGTTGCTATTTAATGAACTGTATGTATGACCGGTTTAAGTCCTAGTATTCTTCTGATTTGGTTATTCTGAATTGTGCTCTCTCATGTGACCATGGCGCTAAATGGTGTAAATAAAAAGTAGATGACTGTTGTATATATTTCGTCTCCAGAATCTGAGTGTACAAATGTGGTGGCAACTAAATTATGAAATATTTATGTGTAACAAATATTTATGACACTGTAAAAAGTTTGGTTCTTAATTTATAACGTACCCCAAACACAAAATCATTGTGGGAAATCCACAGCTGACCTGACAGTCCATTATTTCAAGGGGTGCACGTGTGCTGTTGTTTCGTTTTTTTTTTTTTTTGAGTGTTCATCTAGTGTCTTCTAATCCTAACCTTAACCCTAACCCCAACCCTAAACTTGGCTGTAGATAAATCGCGAGAAACTACAACCTAAAAACCCTAGAATTTATTGGGATTGTCTCCCGTGATGTTGTGACGTCAGGGGTAAGTTATAAATTAAGTACCAAAAGTTTTTAAACTATAAATGTTCATCAACTGCCCTGCACTAAATAAGATGCGGCGTCCGTGGCTTTGGCGTTGCGAGTTCGACTTGTAATTCCAACGTATGGGATGGAAACCCACTGCTGGCTGCGTGGAATTTTTGTCATCGTGGGGCGTCACAGGTCGACCCAGCCTAAAATGGGTACCAGGATGAATGTCCTGGGGAAGTAAAGACGGTCGGTGTAATGCTGATCACATTACCTACCTAGTGCCGATTTGTCTGTAAAAATGTGGGTGCTCTTCCCATATGCCTGATGCGCCTAAGGGATCTTTACTTTACTTTTACTTACTTTACATAATAGAATAATGAACTTGTGGTGACAGAATCACTAATGTAAAACTTATGGAGAGCACTAAACTTCAGGCACATCAAGAATAGGGGGTAACACTGGCCTTAAATATGACACAGTTGAGTTATATTATCTTCACAGCACTCTGGACACATCCATATGTGCTTGGATTCCCCCTTCAACGTCGTGTGGTTAAAAGTGCCTGCCCAATGCTGATTGACAAGACTTCCTGTTCATCCGGTGTGCTTCTCATGCTTGGCTGTACCCATCTTTACTCTGGATAAGACACAGATTGGGGAGATATAGGAAAAGGAAAAAATGATGCAGAGGGAAACAGATAAATAAATAAAAAATAAAAAAAGCCAATAACTGCCTTTATTACCACTTTTGAGGTGTAGGCAGGGGGGTCTTTGAGCCTGAGGATTTACGACCGCATGGCTTGGGCTGTCGCCACGACTGTGCAGATGAAGATTCGATTTTGCCCCCGACAGAAAAAATCCCTAGCCTTACCAAGGATTCGAACCCGGGCCTCCCGCTTGAGAGCCCAACATTCCAACCGTTCGGCCAACCGCTCCTCGACAGATAAAAAATGGAACAAAAATAGTAATAATAATAATACCCATTGTTACACTTCTGTATTAATATATATATATTTATATTTTAAATATATATATATATATATATATATATATCAGCTTGACTGTGCCAAACCGTTGTCATCACTTTCAATTAAAAAAAATTGATCTTTCATTGTTTTAATTAATTTTTGAATTGTGTTACCGGTGTTAATAGTTGTTATCGTTGTAAATATATATATTTATTATGTAGCTTAGACAGTTAATTATATATTATTGTCTTTCCTGCTCTCAGTACACTGTTTTTAATGTTATATCCAGTGTGCCCTACCATAGGCTGGCACTTTTATGTAGAATGTTTTACTGTATTTATTGTTTAAGCTTTTCATTGTTGAAAGTATAACACTCATATGTATATATATATATATATGATATTAATGAGATAAGTATAATATTCATCATTGGTGCATTTTCATTGCATTAGTGTAACGCACATAACAGGTTTGTTGTTATCAAATGAGATAAGTATTACACACATAACTGAAGTGTTATCAAATGAGATAAGTGCAACACTTGTAAGATTGTTGTTAAATTAGATCAGTACAAGACATGCTGTGTGTGTAAATAATGCGATGTTATTTAAATTTTTGAATGAGAAAAGTGTAACACACATGGGAGGCATGCTATGTTATTGATGTGTTTGAAGTTTAACACTTGTAGATATCTGAAGTCACTGTAGAGCAGTGTCTAGCACTGCTCTACAAAAATATGATATTCCTACTATGTTTCTATCAGCATGTCTCCAGGTGTGGAACATTCACCCCTTTTTATAAGCTTTTATTCGGTTCACTTTTGTTTTCAAGTTTTATATAATTTTCTGATGAGCTATCAGGCTGAGATTTTGCATAAACACAGGCTTTGTCAATGTGGTAAAAGAAATATTCTGAAATTAAAAGAATTTTTTTAAAAATCTTATTTTGGTTATCATTATAGTCTCCTAGTAGTGTTGATGGGTTTGTGTTGATCCCTCCATCTGTTGATCACATGACCTAGACATGATGAAGAAGATGGGCTGTGCTTCAAATGATGGCAAAGAACAGGATGACTAGGTTCTAGTTAATTGAGGGTCTGTGCTCCACTGGAGGATAAAGGACTAAATAAGTGAAATCAGAGCAGTAGGCACAAGTAGGTATGTTGGTATTTATATGTTTCATGTACAGCCATTCATACCAACTTTATGTTATTGATATCTTCGAAGAAGTGTAAATTTTATATATTTTTTGTTACTGTTGTCCCAGCATAATAGCAGTTTGCCATGTGGCAAAAATAAAGATTCTAACCTGTACAGTTCACATCAACCGCACTATGAGTCAGTTAAAAACTATTCCAGTAATGTTTGCAGAAGTCTTTATTAGGAAATGTCACTTCAGTGAAAAAGATTGGGCAGATTTAGACCAGTGCTTTATAACTTTTTCCCCCGCCTAAACACTGAAAAAACAAAAAAAGGGAATTTGTTTCTTGCAAGATGGTTGACAGCTAAGGCATACACACCCAAAAAAAAAAAAAAAAAAATTTTTTTTACATTTTTTGGCGGAGATTCATTAAGGAGGTTGGTTCATGTTCTGATGTTTTATGAGGATGTGTGGCTCAGTGTATTCAAACTGACTATACTTCTGATAGGAATACATTCACATGTTATCTTTTATCAGGCAGGTTCATTTTCCAAACATGTTGTTAGTTTGCTGTTCGCTGAGTATAAGCAGCCTAAAGTTGTGGAGACATTATACACCCTAACAAAGGTGCAAAGCAGTGATCATGGAGAGCAGGCCTGTCAAATGTTGATAAATTATTTCCTGTGTATTCATGTAAATATTATTAGCACTTAGAGAAAAATAAAAAGCATACATAAAAAAAAATATGTCTTCTTTAATTTTAGTGTGAAGAGAATAGAGAATTTCCATTTCTTCTCCTGCCATCATTGCCCTCAAGTAAAGGAACACTCCCCCCCCCCTCCCCAATGGCACCTCTTGTTGTATTTATTTACTGTTCAATATTTGATGGAAACCAGCATCATGTCCTTTACTTCACAGAACATTACCTGGCACCTGTTTTAGGCTGGAAGCTACGCAGCCAAAGTCAGTGTTTCCAACAACAACAAAAAGTATTTTTAAACACAAGCCCTTTGTTTTCAGGTGAGCATCTAATCACCATGCTATTGCAATTACAGCCCTCACGCCAAGCCATTTTAGACTGTTGGTAATTGGTTGTAGCTTGGTTGTATGCCACATAAAACAAAACCTTGAGGATCATGAAACTGTTAAACACAGATAACTTGAGACACACAAGAAATAAAAACTACAGACATATATACTATTTGTATCGTTTAATTCCAGCGTGAAACCAATACAGTATTAGCCCACACAGACTGCTAAATGCCCAGATTGATACTTGGATTCTCAAAAGCTTCAGGGTTGCTTTCACGATAAAGCTTCCCTCCAAATAAGGCTTTAAACAGATCATCCCTGTAGCGGAAAAGAAGGAAAGAAAACAAACTGTAAACATTTGAATTTTCTGGGAGGAAACAGTTTTTTTTTGCTTGCTTGTGTTTAACTAAAGCAGATCTAACGACAAACCAGGTTTATAGTGACATTTGTTTTTCTGGTGGTAAGCAATACCAAGCACTTTTTGTCAGTGCTACTGTAATTTAACATGCACTGTGAGGTGAGTGCCGGCACTTTTCAGACACTTTGTGGTGAGTGCCAGCCCCTTTTGTCCTAGAAAAAAATAAGTCCTGGTGTCTACCCATCAATCGAACACAAATGTTCTGGAGATATAGGAATGTGGAATCCTGCTTGACAAAGGTCAAATCCCTCTTTCTTTTGAACAGACACAGCATGCAAATCTGCAAAGAATGAGTCAACTGGGAATGAGGAAACGGTCTGGACGATGATTATCTACCCAGTAAAGTAAAGGAAAAAAAAATGTCAAGATCCATTTTAATGCCTTAGGCACATCTGGCATATGGAAATAGCATACTAAATTTTTTTACAGACCAATCGGCACTATGTGGGTAATGTGGTCAGCATTACGCCAGCCATCTTTACTTCCCCAGGACAGCCACCTTAGTACCCATTTTTTTTACACTGGGTCGACCTGCGACGTCCCATACCATGTTAAAAATCCATGCAGCCAGCAGTGGGTTTCGATCGCGGTACGTTGGCATTACAAGTCGGACTCGCAACTCCTAAGCCACGGACGCCGACATTATCTACCCACCTGGAGAAAAAATAACACAGAAACTTTTATCAGGTTGCAAATGGCACCAACAGTACGGGAACTCTTCACTGACTTTTCTTCTCCTCCACGTTCACTGGCTGTAAGCTCCAGCAAAAAGTTCTGGTAATTCATCCACTCCTGGACTTAAGTCTTGTTCCAGAATTTGGGTTTTGTGTGCACATCCATTTTACAGATCTGGGGCTTACTTGAATGCAGACTGTTTGTAGCCCAACTCTCAGGCAGATGCACTTGGAAGGAACATCCCTAATTAGTCAGCTTGTATGACATGTTTGTGGGAAGAAGGGGGCCTATTCTATCACACAGGAGGCCCTAGATTCAAATCTGGTAATCCTAGTTTCAGCTTCATAGCAAACAGGTCACCCAATAGTTGTTCCACTCCTGTGCCAACGAAAAAACACATAGCTCACAGTGTCACACCATGCACTCAACTCAGAAGCTGGGCGACGAAACTATATGCTTCCAGTCTACAAATGGAGCAAAAATGCGACAGCCATCGCCTGGCAGAAGTAAAAAAAAAAAAAGTGGCCGTGCCTAGCGTCCATTTTGACCTTAAGCATTATGTGAGGGTTATGTTTATGATTCAAATCATCTTGATGTGGGATTTTCTAGTGACTGCATGGCTCTGTTGCTGCCTGGGTCACTTAAAACTGTCAACCCTGTAGTGGCTGGTATGGTTCAGTATTTAAGGTTTGTCATTGGATCAAGAACATATGGGTCTAGCATAAGGTATGAGACGGATACATGCACATCTGTTTTACAGACCTGGCCTTATGGTATATAGAACTCTCAGGCTGATGTACTTTGACAGAAACACTCCTAATTAGTCAATGTGTCTAGCATATGTGCACATCTGTTTTACAGACCTGGCCTAATGGTATATAGAACTCTCAGGCTGATGTACTTTGACAGAAACACTCCTAATTAGTCAATGTGTCTAGCATATGTGCACATCTGTTTTACAGACCTGGCCTAATGGTATATAGAACTCTCAGGCTGATGTACTTTGACAGAAACACTCCTAATTAGTCAATGTGTCTAGCATATGTGCACATCTGTTTTACAGACATGGCCTAATGGTATATAGGACTCTCAGGCTGATGTACTTTGACAGAAACACTCCTAATTAGTCAATGTGTCTAGCATATGTGCACATCTGTTTTACAGACCTGGCCTAATGGTATATAGAACTCTCAGGCTGATGTACTTTGACAGAAACACTCTAATTAGTCAATGTGTCTAGCATATGTGCACATCTGTTTTACAGACATGGCCTAATGGTATATAGGACTCTCAGGCTGATGTACTTTGACAGAAACACTCCTAATTAGTCAATGTGTCTAGCATATGTGCACATCTGTTTTACAGACCTGGCCTAATGGTATATAGAACTCTCAGGCTGATGTACTTTAACAGAAACACTCCTAATTAGTCAATGTGTCTAGCATATGTGCACATCTGTTTTACAGACCTGGCCTAATGGTATATAGGACTCTCAGGCTGATGTACTTTGACAGAAACACTCCTAATTAGTCAATGTGTCTAGCATATGTGCACATCTGTTTTACAGACCTGGCCTAATGGTATATAGAACTCTCAGGCTGATGTACTTTGACAGAAACACTCCTAATTAGTCAATGTGTCTAGCATATGTGCACATCTGTTTTACAGATCTAACCTAATGGTATGCAGACTGTTTGCTCCTTAACTCTCAGGCACATGTAGACTGAAATGCATGTTTTTGTTAGGCAGCAACAGGTTAAAAAAACACACCCACCCCTTCACCACCATCAAAAGGCTCTTGGAACCTACATGGGAAAGTTGGTAAGAAGAATCTCAAACCATTACGTCTTCATCCCTGAAGCAATTACAAAAGATTTCTCTACAACAGGCGGGTGGGTGACCCATGCTCACAACGCCATCCTCTCATTTCATACCTGTACAACATTATGTGCTGAATTTACTCCAGCCTGATAAAAGTTACAGCAACATAAGCCTGCACATACTTACTTCTGTTCCTCTGACCACAGAGACTTGTCGTACGGTGTCATGTAGTTCTTCAACTTTTCTTTCACATGGTATCTGAAAGTTGGATAACATTTGGAGACAATATTTCAGGAAGAACCAGAAGATGATTTGTGGAAGTACCCTAACCCACACAGGACTGCAGGCTATAGAGTGCTGGTGAAGCCATTTCTTCTTCTTCAGCGTTACAAGCCCTTGAGGTTCACTGCTGCAGATATCACCCGGTTCAATTCATCTCTCTGGTTGGACTTCTCTTTCCAGTTGGTGACACCAAGTGTTTGCAGGTCTGTCTGGACATTATCTCTCCATCGTCTTCTTGGTCTGCCTCATTTATACAGTTTTTACTTCTCTGTCATCTGACATTCTTTCAATATGCCCCAATCATTTCAGTCTATTAGCTCTCATGATGCAAGTGATCAGTGGTGATTTAAACACATGAATTTTGTTGTTGCTTCTCTCTCTCCATTCACTGCTGTTTGCATCTTTGATAGGTCCAAAGATTTGTCGTAAGACCTGTAATAAGGCTTCATCTCTTTTAGTTGTGCTCCAAGTTTCAGAGCCATATAAAACGACTGGACTTAACGTTTTATAGATTTTATCTTGGTGTTGCGAGACAGACACTTTGACTTTAGCATATGTTGAAAGGGCATTGTATACCTTATTTCCAGATTCTCCCTGTGTGGGTTCCGGGGCCCCGTTATAGGGAAAACAAGAATAGACCCACTGCCTACCCAAAAGCATGTCGTAAGAGTCGACTAAGTGGAAGCTTCCTTCGAAGTCGGAGTGCATCTGCCTGAGAGGCAAGGAACCTGCAGTATGCATACAAATGAGTCAGATCTGCAAAACAGATGCACACGCAACTTGCAGGTTCTGGAACAGGACTGCAGTCTAGAAGTGGATGAACAACCAGAACCTTCCACCAGAGTTTACAGCTGGTGAACGCGAAGAAGAAAAAAGATTTATAGATTGAAGCCATTACAGCTGCCTTAATTATAACTTCTTTAGTCTCTGGTCACATGATCGGGAGAAAACTAGAGTACACTGTGACAGTAGGAAAGCTGGAGGGGAAGAGGCAGACCGAGAGAAAAGATGCTGGACAGTCTGACATGGAATGGAGGATCATCTGTCTCAGAGTTGACTGAAAGTACACGAGACATAAGGCAGTGGATAGACATGACTACCAACACCACATGGCGTGGACTTTCAGAAGAAGAAGAGTGTATCTGGGATAGCTTTTTTTGTGTGTGTTAAATCTCAGGGTGGTAAACCTATATCTAACAGCCTGGAAGAAACAAGGCTGATTGACAATCAAGATGATCTGAGTATGTTGAATGCAAAACATGTCACTTAACATGCACATGCCATGCACCCATACAGATTCTATCACTTAACATGCATCCATACAGACTCCAAACACAGATCATTCTGGACTGTCTGCTTTGTAGAAAACTAGATAAAAGAGTCTTAAATATCACCTGTCAAGTTCTTACAGATAACAAGAATGGGGGGGGGGGGGAAGGAGAGATGAAAGAATGGACATGACTGCACAGGAGTTTATCTTATACAGCCTGATGTCTCCGGATAGCTGTCTGCAGGGAGCACTGCACGAGCTATAAACTAGTCACCTGCAGCCTTGATTGAGAACCCAATTTGTTATATTTATATATTTTTTTCTAAAATCTGCCAGAGTGGCGATCCAAACATATGACCATTGGACTGACAGGCAAAAGTGCTAGCCACTTATAGCACCTCGCTTTATGTGTTGACACTGTAAAATAAATGTACCAAAAATATATTTACATAAAATATAACTAGTAAATGATGTATGACAAGCTAGATAATGTGAGGATCCCTTGGGAATGAGTGAACAGTGCAGATGCGCAGACAGATCATTACGGTCTGAGGAGAAAATGGCGCTGCGAGGAGTTACCAGGGAATGTGGCCGGCGCTCAACACTCGGGGGAAGAATGAGACGGATATACAATCAGACAGTTACTGGTGCCATTGAAACTGGAACTCTTCGCTTACTGCTGAAGATGGGGGCGGAACACTTATGGGAGTGTCCTGAGTGTGGTGATGTCAATTCTTAATTAAACATTCAACCGTCGACTATATTTACCTGATCTTCCTACCCTTACTCGCACGGGTATCCACCTTCCGTTTCTGCTTATTTCTCAGCCTTTGAATTTCCAGCCACTGCCTAAAAGAATGCAAAGCAAATACACATTACAAGTTGATGTTCTGATTCAATTACTTTATACATATTATGGACATATGTCTTCTCCTTGGTAAGACCAAAGTTTACAAAATATTTTAGCTTTCATAATATGGTTAAGTTAAATACACTCAAAAACAAATGTCACGGGAAAATGATGAACATAAAATGGGATGGATTCCAGAGACCTGAAGAAATGAGAGAAACAACAATTATAAGACTGGAGATGGTGCAATACTGGACACATTCTGAGAAGGGATGAAACAAAAAAACAGACAAACAGAGACTGAAATGGGAAATAAAGTCTAAGAGAAAGCCTAAGGCCAACAAGGACGAGTGAAGCCAAATGTGCTGGACTGGATTCCATCAATGACATCAAAGTGATTGCAAAGGACAGAATGAAATGCAGAAATAGACTGAAAGCCCTAGCTGATATATAACGGCACAACAGGACAACAAATGAATGAACTGTGTTGATGAAAATATGGATGAGTCTAAACATAAAGAATGACTAGACAAACTGGAGAAAAAAGAAAAGACATGCAAAATACAAACTGCATCTCACTGGAGAAGCATCATATTCATACATAGTTCAGCATGTCTTAGCCCTGAAAGGATCAATTTTCTGTATTCCTGAATCTAATCTGTAGAATTATTTTGACATTTGCTCCCTCTTTCTTTTATGTTTCATTTTATTACAGCTCTACAATGTCCCTGTCCATATTTTTTTTCTAATTTCTCACTTCCGGTTCTACTTTTGCCTGTGTTTTTATCTGCTGATATAGACACTGGACAAAACATTGAACTTCATTTTGCATGCATCTGTTCATTTCTCTCAACTGAGCTTTGCAATCATAGTTTCTGTTGTGTTTAGCCACACTATGTAGTGACGGATAATGGTATGCATGTTGTAAAAGGAAATTCCTGACATCGGTATGGATGTTGTAAATAGAAGCTCCAGACACACATCAACAATGGTACAGATGATATAAATGGAAACTGCCACCCAAACCATCAATGGTATGTATGGGTGATATAAATGGAAACTCCTGACAGACACCAACAATGGTACAGATGATATAAATGTAAACTCTTGACACACACACCAACAATGGTACAGATGATATAAATGGAAACTCCTGACACACAAACCAACAATGGTATGGATGTGGTAACTGGAAACTCATGACACAAATATCAAACCAAGGAAAGCTCCCAAACACTGCCCTCCCAACATTTAGGAGTTACAATATCAACCAGCTGGATATGAAACAGAAGGAGAATGTCTTCTTCTCCATCTGTGTTCACCACCACAAGGAAGGTAGGTAGCTTAGGTTGTGGTATCTAGGCAGGCTCTGATTTTTTTTGGGGGGGTGGAAAAGAGCGGCGCCTTACGGCCCATCACATCAAATTTCATAATTTGACCATTAACCCATTAGGGTTGCGGAGGTGTATCGATGGAAGCACTAGCACATAAAACCCGCCATTCATTCTCTGTCTTCCGCTGGATGAATAAGTGTAGGATGACTCAGTCCTGTCCATTTCTTTATGTTGTCATTCCAGGTTCATCCTTTTTTAACCCCCCCCCCCCCCCCCCCCCTTCCCAATAAATAATCAAATTTCAGTAGGCCCTCGAATAGTCATATTTTATGACATGCTTGTTAACTCTTTCAATCCCAGAGGATGATACCAGATGTCTGACTGAAGCAATAATATGACAATAAAAGAATGGGTATACTAAATCCACAGAGTCTGAATACACAGCACATTTGGGGGTACTTGAGTTATGTTTGCCTGGCTAAACTAAAAGATATGGGGAAGTGGCGGTCCATTCACCTGGTCCACCCAGGGTACCAGGTAAAGTCCTGGGAAGTAAAATCCTTCACCAGGCATAATGATGACCAAGTCACCCACTGAGTGCTGATTGGTCTATAAAACATTACAGGTCTAGTTCTACATGTCTAAAAGCCCGGAAAAGGGCCCTTTATTTTTGAGTGGGTCTATTCTCCCAACCCCTCTTCGTTATTTCTGAGTGCGTCTATTCTCCTAACCCCTCTTCTTTATTTTTGAGTGGGTCTATTCTCCCAACCCCTCTTCGTTATTTCTGAGTGGGTCTATTCTCCTAACCCCTCTTCTTTATTTTTTGAGTGGGTCTATTCTCCTAACCCCTCTTCTTTATTTTTGAGAGGGTCTATTCTCCTAACCCCTCTTCTTTATTTTTCTAGTGGGTCTATTTTCCTAACCCCTCTTTTTTATTTTTGAGTGGGTCTATTCTCCTAACCCCTCTTCTTTATTTTTGAGTGGGTCTATTCTCCCAACCCCTCTTCTTTATTTTTGAGTGGGTCTATTCTCCCAACCCCTCTTCGTTGTCAATGGGGCCCTGAACACACACCGAGTTAGTGGACAGACTTACGGCGAAACATGGAACAAAGGAGAAACAACACACCCATTCATTGTTGTTACCAGAAATAAAATTTTTTATCACAGGAACATTCAAGGAATTGTTGAGAGAATAAACAAACAGTAAACATCCACAAGATCCCATCAGCAGACTGAACAGAAGGCAACAAACAGCTGAGCACATTCTGCAGATGTGCCCATTCTACCTACAACCTCGAAAAGAAATCTGGCCTCAAGAGCAAAGTGTGCAGAGCAAGCTATGGGGAAACATGAAGGACCTGCAGCTGACATGCGAGTTAATAGAAGCAACCCACCTGATGGTCTGACCTAAGCATACGAAACCAAACTCAAAGAAGAAGAAGAACCCACATTGAGAACGAACGAACTTTATTTGCAAGGGTCACAAATTGGGCACGCAGGCCCGTCTTACATTCGGAACAAGAAAGTATTAGACATATGTCATAATAACGTACTTATTAGCCATCACCGGATCTGTCTCTTCATTCTGCTTCATCTCAATCAGGTCCCTGAGGCACACATGGTAGAAATCATTGTCATCAATAATTTCATGATTGACTTCTGTTTCTGGCCTGGTTCTCTGTTTCAGCTTGATCTAGCAAATAAGAGAAAACATTCAGTGACTCACACTTCTTTTACCTGAAAGAAGCAGTATATGACATAAAACTGATCTTTATAAAAAAATGTTTTTGTTGACACCTTTTTTATCTTTCCAGATGACACTGTTATATTGTTCTATGAGGAGGCATGGGAACTATAGCCTATGGAGATGGTCGGTGTGACTAGCAAAGACCAGCCTGTGTTAAGAAAAACTCTTCCATAATTAGAGCATTTCAAGACCATTGTTGCCATCACATGTACTTTGTATGCTTCTTCTCAGATACTCAACCTTTGTGCAATTATTTTGTTTCTTTATTTCTATTCCCTCCCTAATTTTCACCCCTCCACACAACACATTTTGTTCCCAAGAATCTACGTCAATACCTGTATCAATCTCTCCACAGCACAAAGTGTGGGCAGTACGGGACACAGACTGTCTGTAGCCCATTCCAATCCCTCTCTTGGCCTAACTTGTTGAATATCACACACATAGTAACATCAGTACATTTGGAATACAGTATGCTGCTGAATCAGAAAAGCATTGTGCCGATTATGGACTGCGCTGACAAAGCAAGAGTTTCAGCACCTTCCCCAGCAGCATAGTTGAGTTGAGTCAAGAATTGACATCACAGCACTCCCATGCATTCTCCGTCAGCAGCAGAAGGAAGCAACAAGATGCTAGATGACAGCCAATCAGGCTTTAGGTAATACAGAAGCACTGATGACCAAAACTCTTATCTCGTACAAGAAATTGAAGATCCTTTCCAGAAAAAATACAAACTAGCTACTTTCTTCGACCTGACCAAAGCCTTTGGCAAGGTTTGGAAGATAGGACTGTTGCTAAAACTAGCACACAGTGGGATAAAAGGGCATATGTTTGCCTAGATTAGAGACTTCCTTTACAGATACTGTGTGGGAGTCAGGCTGGAAAAACACAAGGGCAAGCTGGTTGGACTACAAAGTGTCCCCCAGGGAGGTGTTACATCTCCTAGCCTGTTGATTCTTTTCATCAATGAGCTCCTAAAACAATTCAAGACTCACATTTACAAGGCCCTACATGCAGATGACCTGGCCATATGGACCCAAGCTGAACATATAGGAATAACTGAAACAAGAATTCAGGAAGCAATAAATACACCTAAGAAATGAACAGACTCTTGGGAAGTCACAATAAACCAGACCAAAACCATCTCGACTCTCTTCTCTCTGTCCACAAAGCTAGAACAAGCTTATCTGTACCTAGAAGGCAACATCCTTCCAAAAGAGAACCCCCACATATTTGAGAGTACAATTCGACAAAAGACTAATTTGGGGAACCAACATTAAAGACACTGCAGCTCAGACTTATGAAGAAACTTACAGGAACAATGTGAGGTGCAGATGCCAACACAATACAACAAGTATACACAGGATACACATGACCAAAACTGGAGTATGGCATGGGAGCATACTCCACTGCAGCCAAATCAAATTTAAACTGGACAAAATAGAGAACACTGGTTCTCAGAATCATCACGGGAGTTATGAGAAGGCACACCTCCAGAGCTTGTGGCGTCAAGGAAAAGAAAAGGTGCTCAACCTAACAGAAAAATTTTAATGCACAAACCATGTATAGAACAGCAACAATTTTTTAACTTAACGCCGATTGAAAAGACAAAGCTTTCATCATCTTTTACAAATTGTTCAGCGCCAAAAAACAATGACATCCTTTCTAAAGACCCTTAAACGTGGGAAATGATCCAGGCAGACAATCTAGTCCATTACCAGAAATTAAAAAACTTATCAAGGGAATTACCGAGGAACCCCTTATGACGTGGCAGAGTGACATGCCAGTGAGAAAATGGGATACACCTAAAAAAAACCATAGTCACGGGAGGAGTGAATAGTTACCAGCCCAAACTCCATGAAAAAAATAACAAGGGTTTTGGAGCGCAAATGACATAAGGACAGTTGTGCTGAGCGGAAGGATGGAATGAATGTCGTCTGCACCGTGAAAGCAGGTGGATGGCTGCAGTGTTGAATTAAAACACTCATGAAGGAAAAAGTACAAGGAACTGTGGAGAGAAGAAGCCCACAGTGAACACCCACAAGACCCTTCAGCAGACTCAACAGAAAGCAACATACAACAATTTTCCATTTGAGAACAGGGCACTGTATGCTCATCTATCACATGCACAAAATAAAGACTGTATAGTCCCCACAGTGTGCCTGTCAGACAGGACCACAAACTCTTGAGCACATTCCGCAGACTTGCCCACTTGACCTACAATTTTGAACATACAAAACCGAACATAAAGAAGAAACCTGTAAGTAAAAAAAAAAACAAGACATCTATTTAATCTAATTTGATAAACAACAGGGAAGAATACAAATTAATATTACCTCCACCTCATCATCATCATCCTCTACGACACCGTTTTCTCCAGCTTTTCTCTCAGTATCATTGCTTGGCTTGCCTAGAATTCTGTAAGCTGATCGCTGCTGATGTAACCGTTTAATCAGTCTGTCGCGGTTAACCAAAATCTGCAGATTTTAAAACAGATACACATTTTGAACACGGTTTTAATATATTTCACATTAATTTCTATAAAACTGAAATAATTCAGTCTACTAAATTATAGGTAAGTAATTTTATCTTCTAATTTGCAAGTATGTGATGCCACATACTGAATTACATGTAAATCTATCTTCTAAACCGCAGGTAGGTAATGCTGCATATAAAATTATAGATTACTTCTATCTACAAACTGCAGGTGAGTAATGTCACCAAGCAAATTACAGGTAAGTAATTCTATCCCAATATCCCCCCCAAACAGACAGTCAAATATTGTATGGGGTGGTAGATGCAGTTGTGGGACCTAGGTTGCACTCTCTCGTGGGATGTAGGTGGGTTGGGGTTAGGCCCAGTTTTATATATTTTGGGGTAGTTAAAAGCATCAGAAAGCCGGGAAACCTGCTCTTACCACCCTAGAAAATATTGGATTGTCCCGTGACGTCACCCTGGGGGAAGATATAGGGAAATACCATTCTATCGCATAAACTGCCTAGTAAATCACACAAGTGTCGATAAATAAATGCAGAGGGGCATTTTTAAAAAGATATGCAGTGAACTTTTTAAAACTGCAGGCACATAATTGTTATATCGTCATCAAGTGCTTTGCCAGCTGGCATAGGTGTTCATGCATTTCCTCAGATCTGAGTCTTTGGTGTTCTGGAACAATTCCACTGATGATACTCCTCCATGAAACTGTCTTAAGAAATCCACCATCATTTCTCTTAGTCTGCCTTTTCTACCAGTGAATAGTTATATACTCATACTAAATTGTAGATAGCCTTTCTAAATGCTAAATTTTAGGTAAATTAATTCTTGGGCACATTGAGAGAATGTCTAATGACAGAGGTAAAAACTGTATACATAAGGAAGCTGAATGGCCGTTGACCACGAGGCAGACCAAGAAGACGATGGAGAGATAATGTCCAGACAGACATGCAAACACCTGGTGTCACCAACTGGAGAAAGAAGGCCAACCAGGGAGATAAGTGGAGGTGGGTGATATATGCAGCAATGAACCTCAAGGGCTCAGAACGCTGAAGATGAAGAAGATAAGTAAGTCTCCCTTTACACTAAATGCTGAGCAATTTTATGTTCTGATCTGTAAGCAGGCGATTCAATAAAATAACTGCAGGTAAGCAATTTGATATCAGAAAGAAGAAAACAAATTAAATGACAACAATAGGGACCTCGATGAACTAAATACATTTAGGGACATTCTTCTTCTTCCTCTGCTTTGCAATTAAATGAGTGGTTGGCACCACACTATGTTGTGGTTTACAGCTATGCTGTGATATCTGTGACTTTCTGCTCAACATATCCAGTTTCAGCAAAGTGACAGTCACCATTAACGACATGCTGTCAAGGAGCAGTGCATGTATTTCTAAATTCCACCAAAATGGTCATTGGAATCCATACAGATTTGTGAGAGATTCAGCTAGGAGTAGACAGAAAATGTAGATAGTTCTTAACACAAAGACAAAAAGACAGGTAACATCAGAAGGGAAACCTTTTAAGTAGCTACTGAGCAAGAGGACAGAGTACGAGTGAGAACACCCTATCTCAATAACGCCAATTCTTGTTTCATCCATTCATTTATACATACTTCAGGAGCCGAGAAATATATTGCTACATTACCCTCATACAGCTCATAGCAATTTTACATTAAACAGGAGACAAAAAACAATGTATCCCAATATTCTCACCTGCTCTATCTGTTTCAAGACAGACACTTCAAACGCAGAAAAATTCTTGGCCTTGATCTTTCCTTGGGTTAGCCTCGTCTTCTCATCCCACTTGGACAAGGTGTCATTTCTATCATTTGAGTACACATAAAAAACATACAAGTTATTCTTATACTTTAATTATTTCCATCATTTGAGTACACATATAAAACAGACAAGTAATTCCTATACTTTAATCATTTCTATCATTTGAGTACACATATAAAACATACAAGTAATTCCTTACGATAAGTACACCTAATATAAAAACATGCCATTTTCATAATATAAAGACTTATAGAGAATGTAAATCCTTTTCTATCATTTGAGTATTCATAAAGAAATTATTGGCAATTTCTATAATTTAAATACACATTATTTAAAACAGGTAATTTCTATAATTTAATAATGACACATAAAGAATATAAATCCTTCTAAATCATTTGAGGACTCATCAAGAAAAATTACACATCACGTCTACTGTGTACCAACAGAGTACTAAATAACACAAACTGTAAATAGAAAACTTAACGGAAAAGATAAAAGAGCTTAGAAAAAGCCAATGTCAGCATGAAATAGAAATGTTTCACCAAGTTTCTCTAGTTCTCTGTACACAAATCTATGCAACTAATGAGAAAGTATCACCTGCAAGCAACGTAAGAATCTATCACTCATGAAATACCTGAAACTCTGAAAATCCTTGTGCCGTTTTGAAAGCGTCTCTTCAACCTCCTCAACATCCAGTTTACGTTTCATACGCCCATGGTTTTGTTGCCTGTTTTCCGTCACAGCATCAGTCTCCATATCTTCGTCTTCTTCTTCCTCTGGGCTGTCATCTTCCTCATCTGCATTCAAATCCCCTTTCTCTGTATCATTATGTGACCCATTCATTTTGGTACTTATCACTGCCTTCTCCTTCTCATCGTCCACTTCAGATTCACTGGTAATCTCCTCGTCTGAGCCACCAGCTGGTGTTTTACTGTGGTCAGAAAAAAACACATGAAAGTGTTAAAATGTTAACATATTTAAATTTTCACGATAAGAAAAAAAAAAAAAAAAAAACTTACTGGTTCCTTGTCAATCCCCGCCCGAGTGACATAATTTGCGTTGTGCCTGTTTACACCATTAAGAAAAGTAAGGACCTTTTTCCATGCCTTTAGGTGTATAAAGCTAGACCTAGATTTTATAGACCAAGCAGCACAAGATGGGTGATGTGGTCAGCATCACGCCGGCCGCCTTTGCTTCCTGGGACGGCACCCGGTACCCACTCAAGGCTGGGTCGACCTGGGAGCCAAGGTTACTTTTGAAACAAGTCAGGCTCCGCCACGGAGCGAACCCACGACCTTCCGTTCCAGCTTTGCCACGTCAACTCCCCTGTTTACAACATTGCAATATTTGCTTTCATGGTTTTGAGTGTTGCATGAACATCAGTTTTTCAGATCTGGCTAATTTTAGTAGAGACTGTTGGTTTCCTGCTTCTCAATCATACTGTATACACTCCAACTTTAAAGGAAACACTGTTCATTTTTGTGCTGATGAGGCCCCAGCCGGTAAGCTGTTTCCAGGATGACTGCAGAGACGTTCAGCATCTATGTATCCCTTTCAGTAATCAAGAAATTAAACATTACCAAATCAGATGGCATGATAAACTTTAGAGACATATTTGAAACAGTATTTTGGGCAGCACACAGTATGTGTTCTTTGGGGCACTGGAGAATATCCTTATGACTGAAAACACCACTGGTAGAAGAGGCAGAGACAGACCAAGAGAAATGATGGTGGATGGCTTATGACAGTGGCAGGGAGGAATATCATCAGTGGAAGTGATCTAGAACACCACAGACTGAGATCTCTGGAGATACATGAATGCTTAATGCCAGCTGGCAAGGCAATTAATGAAAATGATAAAGTACTTGTTCAACCACAAAATATACAAGATCCTCTTTATGGGTTCCGTGCCACATTGTGGGAGAAAACAAGAATAGAACCGCTGCCTCCCCAACAAACATGTCGTCGGAGTTGACTAATTGGAGGCATACTTCAAAGTTTGAGTGCATCTGCCTAAGAGACAAGGAACCAACAGTCTGCATACAAATAAGCCAGGTCTGTCAAATGGCTATGCACACAACACTCAGGTTCTTGAACAAAACTAAAGTCTGGAGGTGAACAAACAACCAGAATTTTCCATCGGTGAATGAGAAGGAAATATAAGTTTTTCGCAACAACCAAACAGAGAAATTAAACTACTAAAAAATATATGAGAAACTGACCTTTTGCCAGATTTTTCTCCTGAATGCAAGAGCTGCAGCTGAACGTCCAGCAGGGTAGATACAAGTTTCCTCACCGAGCTATGCACTGGGGAAAAAGATGCACATCAAATGAACATTTTGTCAGTTAGCTGAGGTTCAAAACTGTAAACAGTGGGGGTCATCAACATCATCAAGTGCCTTAACAGCTGGTGCAGGAGCTCATGCATCTCCGCAGATCTCTGGTGTTCTGGATCAATTCCACTGTTGATTTTCCTCCATGCCACCCACCATCATTTCTATTGGTCTGCCTCCGCCTCTTCTACCAGTGATCTTTCCGGTCATCACAATATTTTCCAGTGCCCCTTTTCTCATCACACGACCTAAGAACTGTGTTTGTCTCCCTCGCATTGCTGTCTATAATGTTCTACTTTTATTAGCCATTTCTAGGCAATCATTGTTGGTTTATTCTGGCAGTCCACGGTATTCGCAACATTCTTCTCAAGAATCACATCCCAGTCTTTCCAAATTCTTCTCAATCTGTTTGCTCACATTATAAGATTGATTCACTACCATACAACAGAGCGGGTTTGATATAAGATTTCAGGTATACCCCCCCCCCCCCCCCCAGAAATTAATTTTTTGCCCCATTTGCAATTAGTGATTAATTCTCTTAAAAAAAATTACAAATATGAACTATTTATGTCGATATTTCCTTGTTACACCTAACATAGCACATTAACATTTCATTTTTTGTCGTGACTATTTTCTTGTTTTCTGAAGACGGTGTCCATGTTTGACATTGACAGCACGGCGTTGGTAAGAATACTGTGTTGAACAGTGTTCTTTTAGTGTTCATATTCATATACTTGCATTTCAAAATTGGTGCCATCTGGCCTAAAACCTGAATGACTTTATTGCAACTTCGTTGGATTCCTTTATTAAGTGTACCGCTGCACTGGTCAGAAACATGAAGCTAGTCATTGCACACAATAAAAGAACTAAAATGCTATGACTGAATTACTATTGCATGTGGATTGGCATCTGAGACAACAGATCATGTCCTCCAAGACTGTCCCAAATACAACATATCAAGGCAAAACTTTTGGTCCAAGAGAAACATCGGTGCAAGTCAAACTTTACGGGTAGCTGAGTGAATTACAAAAGACAGTAAGTTCATACTGAAAATTGGAGCACAACTAAAAGAGATGAAGTCTTATTACCTGTTTTCGAAAACAGAGTCTTAGGATGAATCTTTGGACCCATCAAAGATGCAAACATCAGTGAATGGAGAGTGAGAAGCAACAATGAAATTCATAATCTGTTTAAATCACCACTGATCACTGGCATCATGAGAGCTAATAGACTGAAATGGTTGGGACATATTGAAAGAATGTCAGATGACAGAGAAGTAAAAATAGTATACACCAAGGGAGATGAATGGTCATAGATCACGAGGAAGACCAAGAAGACGATGGAGAGATAATATCCAGACAGACCTGAAGAAGAAGAAGAAGTTCATACTAGATGCAACATTGCAGATATAGATAATCTATTTCAAGCAAACAAACTATTGCAGAACTTAGGAAAAGGAACCAAACAAATTTGAGCTAAAACATGCAGGCTCTTGTTATGGCACACATGAAAAAAAAATACACAAAAACATGCTAACAATGTAAGTCAGTGCTTTCCATTTCGTGGTCTACCAAAATTAAACAAATTTTTTTAGGGGTTTGTGACATCATGTACATACACATCAACTTCAGAACCTCAACTTCAGAATAAAGTCTTATTTGTGATCTGATATTTATAAAATTTTTTTTAGTTTGACTATTAAAAGATATAGGGTCCTTGACAGACTTTTGAAAATACGTGGAGTCAGCAGGACTTAGGTAACTGGAAACCACGGATATAAGTTGAAAATTCTTCTCTTGGAAGAAAGAATGTACAAGAAATAGAGGAAGAGCTAAAAACACACAAGGAACAGTCAGAGATAAATTGTGCAAAGGCATGAAGTGGCCTGCAGAAGAGGGAAATAGATAAAAGTGGAACAACAGGAGTTGATTAAAGGTCTATGCAAAAACTCAAGTTCTGGAGCAAAACCAATGTCCAGAAGTGGGTGATTAACCAGAACTTTCTGTCAGAGTTTACAGCTGGTGAACTCTAAGCAGAGAAAGAAGATAAAGAACAAGTGAAACCTTCCAGTAATGAAAAAAGGTTTCCATGGTTGGCTGGTTGTTGTGATTATTATTTTGATGGGATGAGATCATCATCATCATCAGGTGCCTTGCCGACGCGTGGGCGATCATGCCTCTCCACAATCCGCGATCTCCTGCAGCGTGTATCAGTGTGTGTGCCGACACACCTCTATGCCATGCAACAAGACTGTCAAGCATCTTCTCTCGTTGTCTTCCTCTATTCCTCCTTCCACAGATCTTTCCAGTGGTCACAACATGTTCTATTTTCCCTCTTCTCATAACATGGCCGAAAAATGATGACTGTCTCCTTCTGATGTCAGTGATAAGTTGTCTTCGGGCTCCCGCCTCTTTTAAAACCTCTTGGTTGCTCACCCTAAAATTCATTTTGTTGCCTTAAACGACCTGCTTGCAGTGTACTTCCTGTGAGGGCCTTAGTAGAGTGAAGTTGAAAAGATGCGAAGAGAAGGGATGAGCTGCATGCGATAGCAAAGGATGGGATGACTTGATGTGGGTTGGTGAAGGCACACGGCCTGGGGCTGTGTGGTCTCGAGGTATGGCATCCGCATCGAGTGCTAGGATTTTTTTTTTCATTCGGACTTTCAGTAATTTCCCCTGGTCTCTGGGTAGTAAGATCGGATGTCCCTGTGTATTGTTGCACATGTATAAAAAAAAAGTCCCTTGGCAGTTGGAAATCGAAAAAGAGTAGTCTAACAGCACTGCCCGGGCAAAATTTTGGAGTTAAAAATCTACCCAAAGTATTTAAAGATTCTCGCTGGCGCTACAGATTTCGCGCACTGCGCTGAGATTTTTAAAAATCAGGCTTGAGTTAGAAGTAGAACGGAGCGCAGATGGGTTACCCCTGGTGCTATGATGCTGGTCCATAACCTAATCCTAAACGTAGAGAATGTGCTCTACTGGGGGAGAGACGACAGAAGATAAAGATAGAATCAAGAAACTAAACAGATACACTTAAAAGACATGACTGCTTTGAACAGTAAAGAAAACAGAGAAAACATATGATTAAAAAAAAAATTTCTGTTACCGTTCTTAGCCTCCTTTCTAAAACTCTCCTGCTGGATAAAGTCAGTCCATGTGTCTGGCTGCGGCAATCTGTTGCAGGCTGTAACCATCTTCTGCATGGCAATTCTGCTTTTGATCAAGTCGTCCCACACACCTGTAGGCCAAAGTTGTTGGGTCAATATTCAGTTACCAAAAATGTACAATTCACATTTATATAATACATTCCCCCATACAGCTGGGTGTAAACAAATTCTATAAATACTTAAACAGTTTCGGGGTAGACAAAGTGCTGGTTTAATATAATACACTAACATGTCAAATCTGTTTTAATGCCTAAATGGTACAAAAGTAGATAAAGTGCTCAACTGTTACATAAAATGCTTCTTCTTCACTTTCTTTTACCGCTACAGGAGTCGACTGAGATTAATTTTCTGGTTCTTACTCTTCTGGTCACTTGACCATAAACACAACGTACCATTGTAGAGTATCTCTGACGTTATCTTTCATATTGTTCTTCCTCCGACCCTATACCTATTTCCTCTTTTGGCACACGCCTTGTGTGGTATGGCAGCGCAAAGCAATATTGGGCTAGATGTTGTCAGGGCCCTTTAGGAGCATGTGAACAGTGCGAAGGCTTGGAGTTACCAGGTGACCTGGCCGACACTTATCACTCAAGGGAAAGGCGAGATTGATACACAAGGCAGTTACTGGTACCATTAGAATTGGAACTCTTTGCTGTCGAAGATGGGGATAAAGCCCTTATGGGAGTGTCACCAGTTCTATGATGTTGATTCTTAATTCAACAGTATACTGAAGTTGAAAGGAACTCAGTTCATGACAAAACTATATAATACAAGAGCAACATTTTAGAAATTAAAATAGAGGAAAAACAAAATGTTCATCACTGGCAAACATTAGCAAAGGAAGAAGAGGGAGACAGCTTGGAATGTTTGTTAAATGTCTTGTGACACTCTAGCAAGGACAGCTTTCAGATGAATGACAGACTGAAAAAGTATGATGTTGATTCTTAATTTAACAGTATACTGAAGTTAAAGGGACTGAGTTTCATGACAAAACTATATTATACAAGAGCAACATTTTAGGAAAAATAATACACAAAAGTGGGTGTTGAAAAATGACAGCAGGAATTACCACATAAACTCAAGACTTAAAAAAAAAAAAAGGCCCAAGGAGAATTCTGCAAATATTTTGGCCAAACATGATCACAAGTAAAAAAAACAAAAATTGGGAGGAAAAACAAAATGTTCATCACTGGCAAACATTAGCAAAGGAAGAAGATGGAGACGGCATGGAATGTCTTGCGACACTTTGGCAAGGATAGCTTTCAGATGAATGACAGACTGAAAAAGTAGATGTAGAAAATCTAAGAACACCTGGAGAAAAACAGTAGAAAGGGAAGTGAAGGAATGTAAAACATGGAATACCACAGGCAAAAAAGCAGCAAGCCGGCAGTAACAAAGATCCGTTGTGAATGCGTATGCATACATAGTGTTAAAAAAAAAAAAAGGACTTCAAGAAGAATCTGTCATTCGAAAGCTCTGCAACCTCTTCTTCTACATTAGTAGGTGTTTCCCGCACTTCCATTCTCATTATATGACTGAATCATCTTATTGTTGTTGCATATAATCAGTGCCTGCTGTTGCTCCTACTATTACTCAGATATTATCTCCTCTTGGCGTAGTTCATGCCTTCCCCTCCTAGAGACATGAAAATACAATACTTACTACTGTACCCAGCAAATAAATTGTACATGACAACATTTTCACCTTTACAAGCTGATATCAAGCATACTGTGTCACTTACAGACACCAGTAACCAAAACTCCAGTTATGACAGTCAGAATATTTTGACTGATCTATTTTATTATGAGCTCACATTTGACTGCAAATAAACAAAACCATTTAATCACTTTGATTTGATACCTCTGTATGCTAATGATCTCTGAAAATCCCCAGTAATATTTAGTCATCAATAATCTCCTTTACAGCCTTTCTCATATTTTCTAGTGAAAGTGCACATACCAGGGGCTCGAACTCTGGGTACAAGAAGAAAATGCTGGGTCAGTTGTCAGAGTTGTATAGCAGATGAACAATGGCTAAACTTCTCAAGCACAGAGGTCAGACCTTTTTAACTGGCATGTGGTCACAAAATAATTAAACAATGCAGTCAGTCAATCAGGTGCCATCTCCACATCTAATGTTGCCTGCAATGGATCTCCAACACTCTCTTGTCTTTGTAGTTAACTCTCTCAGACTTCTATTCGTACATCTCTTAATGTTGTCCTTCCATCTGTATCACTGCCTACCTCTTACTCTCAACCTTTCTTTCCAGCATGGTTTTTAAAAAAGTATTATGTTTTTAATGTGGCCAAAATATTTCAACTGCCTCTTTTTTATCTCTTTCTTTTGATAACCCTCTTTTAATTTCATTCTATATATGATTGTTTTTTGTTTCCATGAAATTCTGTATATCCACATTTCCACAGACACAATGAGTAAAGAATTACCATCCAGTGAATTTGCGCATACATAAAACATCTACCCACCTAACTGATACATCACCGCTTTTCCTTTTGCTCTGTCATCAGACTTGTTTGCTGGTGGTAACACATCAATTGCTGTTGAATAAAAAGCAGAACGTTGCTTAAGACAAACCGAAAACGTGGGCATAGTATTTAACAATACGTTGTGTGGGTTCCACCACCAAATTCTTTTAAGGGAAGAAAAGAATAAACCCTTAAAAAGCAAGTCACAAAGGTCTATTAATTAAGGTTTGCTGAAATCAGATGTGCTGGGCCAAAATGTGCAGGTATCAATGCCTAGCTGTAAACGACAACACAATGTGCCTACAAACCGCACATCAAAAAGAAAATAAGTATTGATACAATGACAACTTCCTAGAAACCCAAAAAGAAGCTTAAGTGAAGTAGTTAGGAAAAAGATTAACTGATGGGGCATATTAACAGATGAGACGGAGTAAAGAAATTAGCCGTAAGTTGGAAAAAATAATTAATATTAAATAGGTAATAGAGGAATAGACTGGAAGCCCTATGTAACACATAACCGCAGAACAGGATGATGGTGACGAAGAAAAATATTTGGCAAGAGAAGCTGTAGGTTAACAGCTTATCAAAATCACCATATAATAGAGAAGACTGGAAATCTATGTAAGTATGCTCTGGTTTAGGCACATGAATAAGTGGAAAAGGGGCAACTGTTGGTCCCCTTTCCAGGAGATAGTGTTATACAGGCAGGCATGTGAATCACAGTCTTCCAGAGAAGAATAGACCCCCCCCCCTCCCCCCCTCACAAGCAAGCCGTAGTAGGTAACTAGCTAATGGTGTTTCTTTCAAAGTTGAAGTGCATCTGCCCGAGGGGCAAGGAATCAACAGTCTGCATGCAAATAACTCAAATCTGTCAAATGGATGTGCAGACAATTTCTAGTCCTGGAATAAGACCAAAGTCCAGAATGGACGAACAACCAGAATCTTCTGGCGCAGTTAACGACCGACAAAAACAAACAGAAGAAAAACATCACCCCAAGGAAACAAACATATGAGTTGATTCAAGAACAAATGTCACAACACTCTGGGCATTACCACAAGCACTCCACCCCATCGTAAGCAGCTAGCGCAGAGCTCCAATACCAATGGTGCCAGCAGAATCTGATTATATGTCTATCTTGAATTTCCTCTGAGCTTTGAGTATCAGTCAGATCCCGTCATCACTCCACACTGCATCACTCCCCCCAGACTGTGATGATAAATTTTCTGTTCCAAATTGTACAAGTGCTCTTATAAGGCCTTAACAATGAAAAGATCGAGACAATGCTCTTTACCCATGATATCTGAAGCGAATTAAGGCCATTCTGCATGAAGCATGCTTGTCCTGACCTTCAGCATGCTTTCCGAGTCAGTTATAATAATGACGAGTGTGTTCATCATGTTCTCTAGCCAGCGGAAAGCTGCATTAACCAAACAAATATCTCAAGTTGTTCAGGACCCTCAAAGATTCTCTCTCACAAACATTGGCTTCATGTCGGCAGACATTAATTAAATGGTAGTGTACAAAATCATCACGCTGCAAACATTTTCCTTACCTTTAATTGTCTTGGCCGATTCATCCTCTAATGCGTCGTCCACACCAGCTTCATCATTGTCAGCATCATCATCATCCTCGCTGCTTTCTAATTTGTCATTCCCCTCACCATTTTCTTCTTCGTCAAAATCATCATCATCAATGTGACTACCTTCATTCTCTGAATCATCTGACCTCTGACTCTGGCTGAAGATGTAAACACAAAAACTTAAGAGATTCTTCCCAGATAAATATCAACCCCTCATATACCATCTTTACATTTAAGGTCAGCTACAAGGACCTCCGCCGTCATGTTACAGGGGCCTTTAAGAGAAGCAAAGAATAGTAACACTGCACCCTACCAGGCGTGTCATGAGAAGCAACTAAGGCTAGGGCTTGGTTATTATCCCATTTCATTGAAGAAAAAAACGGCAACTAAACGGGGGGTTTAGTTGCCGTTTTTTTTAAGTTAATTTCTTCTATTTTCACTTATCATTTATAACAATATGGGTTCCTGCATTTTCCTGCTTTAAACAAAAAATATTTTACGTGCCCCCCCCCCCCCCCTTCAGGTTTAAAGGTTACAAATCTGCCCACCCAGCCACTCATGTTTCACACAGCATTTATAATGTATAATATATGATTAATTAAAACATATGCAAGTGAAAGTTAAAGAACCACAAAAGACACTGAATGAAAGTTAAATGCATTTAAAAACAAATGCCTTCGGAAAATACTGAACACACACGAATGAATTCCAGAGTAGTGAAAAAATAACAGAAATATCTGGGCAACAACTGGTAACAAAAGTTATAAGACAAAGAAATAGTGCTATACTGGATATATACTGAGGAGAAATGAGCAGAGAATCACCAAAAGGGCACTACAAATTGGAAATAAAGAAATCGAGGAAGCCAGGACGTCCAAAAGAAACCCTAAAAGGACCGTTGTTGAGAGCAGAAAGGAGCTGGACTGGATTTGATCCATGATATTGAACTGACTGCACAGGACAGAATGAAGGAATAGACTGCAAGTCCTGCGTGACAGATAAATGGACAACAAGACAATGCAAATGAATGTCAAGTTCCTTCAGCAATTTACATAATATGAATGTTAACAACAAAACCAACAGAATATTTTGTCAAATATATTTATGCATACACACATACATATATATAGTCTTACTGCAGCACATTTCTGAAAGTTGTCTTCTAAACGAAGAATAGCGAGTTTAACCCTTTTGCCCGACAAGGGACAAAATCAACACTAGACCCTTCCCCATTTCGCTTCACAGACATGTTTATAAGACGTTTTGCTGAAAGAATTCATGGCATCTTCTTCTTCTTCTGCCTTTCTAGGCCCCAGGCCCTCAACCAACTTACACCAAGTCACTATATTGTTCGCTATTGCATGCTTCTCTCCCTATCATTTGAACATTACTCTCTAGCTCCCTCCTCCATGAGTTTTTTTGGGCCTCCCTTTATTTCTTTGCCCCTGTATCTGATTCTGCAGAAACATTCAATGTAAAAGGGGATGACTTAGCTTTCTTTGAGGTTTTGAACAATGGATGAACATCATGGCACACGGGTAGTACCCATAAGTGCTCCGTTCTTCTAACTCAAGTCTCAGTGAAGAAGCTCAGCATAGTGCACAGGCTCTGTAGCACGACGAGGATTCTGAAATACTTTGGGTAGACTATTAACTCCAAATTTTGCCCAGGCAGTGCTGTTATGCTACTCTTTTCAATTTCCAACTGCCAAGGGATATTTTACATGCACAACAATGCACATGGGTGTCCAATCTCATTACACAGAGACCAGGGAGAATTACTAGAATTGAAAGACCACGTGAAAAAATCCCAACCCTTACCGGGGATTGAACCCGGAACCTCTAGCATTCGAGGCGGACACCATGCAGACCCCTTAGCTTACTAAAATTAGCGGTAAGAGGTGACCTTAAGAAAAAAAATTTGTATTTTTAGATATTCCCACGGGACATTTTCCCCACTGTCTATAGTGGTTACCAGCAGTGTCATCTCAAAGAGGAGCCTGCTGGGCACCTGCCCTTTAGGGCTCAATGACAATCTATTGTGTCGAGTGACTTGTCATCAATACAAATGTCATTCCTGTGAGTGGCTGTTGTAGGGGGCCCAACACGCTGGTTTGCCCAGGTGCCCTTGAGGCCTTTTTAAGACAGCACTGGTTATCAGGCAATAGAGTCAAGTAAGTGTTACGCTTACATTAGTTTACAGACCCTAAGAAATTAAGTCAGCTGATTCTATGCTACAATCATTTTTACTTATTATTCCCCTTACTCTGTTTATTCTTCTTCTTCTTTCTTTGCGTTCACTGGCTGTAAACTCTGGCGGAAAATTATGGCTGTTTGTCCACCTCTGGACTGTAGTCTTGTTCCATAATCTGAGGCTTGCGTGCACATCCATTGAACAGATCTGACTTAACTGTATGCAAATTGTTGATTCCTTGCCTCTCAGGCAGACGCCTTCAAAGATGCCCCAATTAGTAGACATTTATGACATGCTTGCTGGGGAGGCAGTGGGTCTATTCTTGTTTTCCCTACAATGGGGCACTGAAACCCATACGGGGAACTCTGTATAATATTTGTTCATGTTTTGGATGATAAACTGATTTTCTGCGATCTTACTGATAGAATGTTCAAATTGTTGTTTCTTCGAAGGATTTTTTTAAGGTCATCAGGATGAAAGGGTTAAAGTTAACAACAAAAATGGGCAAAATTAAAATTTCAACAGGGCTATTCAACTGGTGGCCCATGGAAGCCTAACAAGTGGCCCGGGGATCACTGTCAGTTGTATTGTATCGATGAATTTTCTAAGCCCGGGCGTCTCTGGCCCGTTACGATCCCCATTTTCATAACTTTGACCCAGAGAAAACTCAGTTAAATAGCCCTGATGTATATAAAACTCACAACAAGAAATGTTACCTACCTTGAATCAGTAAAATGACCCTCATCAGCACTATCATCATCTGAATAAAACAATACCATAAAAAAAATTTACTCTGATGAATACCCCAAAAAAATTTACTAAATGTATTCTATCTTTTATATAACACAACATGCATGTGTGACTGTAACAAATGTCAATTTCCTTGTACAAATGAAACCATTATAAATGGCTGTTAAGTTTGTTGTGTACTGCTCTGATACAGAACAGTCTCACTTCTTTTCGTGCTTGCAGAAACTATTTTATAATCACTATGGAATAGAACAAGTGTTAAGTTACCATAACCATATCACTGGAGGGTTTTAGAACCTCTGTTTGATTGTAAATCTAGAATCACTCTTGTGATTTAGATCACATTAACTTATGGTTTAGTGAGATCCGAACTGGGGTGGACTGCACTGTCTTCTTCTGCCTTTCTATTCCCCAATGGAGCATAGGCCCTCAACCAACTCACGCCAAGTCGTTCTATCCTTCGCCATTACATGGAGCTCTCCCCATGTCCTCCCAATCTTTCTAACCTCATTCTCCAGCTCTCTTCTCCTTGTGTTTTTTGGCCTTCCTTTATTCCTATGCCCCTGTGAGTTCCAATGCAAAGACATTCTAGTTATGCTGTTCTCCTGTTTTCTCAGTGTGTGCCCTATCCAACGCCAGCGCCTTTTCCTCACCTCCTGATCCACTGGAGCCTGTTTAGTTCACTCCCAAAATTCTACATAAGTTATTCTATCATACCATTTTATTCCCTCTATTCTGCGCAGGCACCAGTTAATGAATGTCTGTAATTTATTAGTAATTGCCTTTGTTGTACTGATTTGACATTAGAATTAAAAATTTTTAGTTTAGTATTTCTTTTAATTTCTTTTGACCTCCACAAATTCCCTAGTGAAAGCCCCTCTTGCCTTTTGTATTCTTATTTTAATATCTCTATCAGTTTCTCCATCTTTATCTACATTACTGCCTAAATAGGTGTACGACTCCACATCTTGGAGTGGGGTGCCATTATGAGAAACCACATTACTATTTGCCTGATTTATTCTCATTATCTTTGTCTTTCCTTTATGGATTTTCAGACCAAGCTGCTGTGATCTCGCATTAAGTATATTTAATTTATCTTGTATCTGATTCCGTGAATGGGACAGAAGGGCAATATCATCAGCGAAGTCCAGATCATCAAGCTGTTTTGTAGGGTTCCACTGAATTCCATTCTTGGTGTTAGCAGTTACTGTTTTCATAGTCCAGTCTATAGCCAGTAAAAATAGGAGAGGCGACAAAAGACATCCTTGTCGCACACCTGTTTTTATTTCAAATGCATCTGTTAGCTTTCCCTCATGAAGAACTCGACATTTCATGTCTTTATATGTTGCCTTTACTAAGTTGATAATTTTCTGTGGGATTCCATAGTGCCCCATCAATTTCCAGAGAGATTCCCTATCAATGCTGTCAAATGCTTTTTCATAGTCTATAAATCCAACGTAAAGTGGTGAGTTCAGTTCAATGCTTTGCTCTATTATAATACGTAATGTGGCTATCTGATCAGTACAGGATCTGTTTGACCGAAAACCTGCCTGCTCATCTCTTAGCATTTTATCAATAGCATCTTTTAATCTTTCCAAAATAATTCTACTTAATATTTTTCCAGGAACTGACAGCAACATAATTCCTCTATAGTTTTCACACTCCTGTAGATCACCTTTTGTGGGCAGTTTCACAAGATATCCTTCTCTCCAGTCTGCTAGTATTTCTGGACTGCACTGTGGCCACTAGTAATTCCTGTTAATCTTGAAATGTATTTTATTATCCCTGAGAGAAGAAGATCGAATGGTGGATTGGGACACATTGAATGTAATAATTATTTTTCTTCTTCTTCTTCTCTTCCACCTCAGTGAAGTGTCGGTGGGAGTGTCATATGACAGAATGCACACACCTACCTCAATGAAAAGGCCCACAGTCTGAACACCCCTAAAATCGTCATTGTAGCTATGATATCGGATGGTCCGACCGTAGTTATATAGTTCGTTGGTTGTGGGGGAGTCCAGATAGGAGAAATCCATATAAATCACTCTTAGATTGATTCTTTTAGGCTTTTAGTGTCAATTTACACGTTAGGACACCTTTTCTACGCCTATTTAAGATAAATTGTTTGTCCGCTTCACCGTATACTTGAGCCATATTCTTACACCAACTGCCGTAGATAGGGACTGTATTTTTGTACGTCACTTCTCCATGGTCCGTTCAAGTGAGCGAACGTATTGCCTTTTTGTAGCCACTTGACCGTTAAAAAAAAAGACAAGCTTCTTTATTCTTTTTATCCATTTATCATGGGTGAGTTTTCCTAAAAGGTTTTAATTGAATATTTGTGCTCAGTATCTGTATGTGTCGGTAAGTAAGGTCAGCAGATTGATAATGCGAATCTGTTTGTCTACGATCGCCTGCGAGGAAGGACGACAGATGCGATCCTGGTTGGAATGCACTTTCGGCTGAAATTTCTCAGTGAATTCTTCGAGCCGGCTTTCTAAACCTCTTCGGATCAATCAATCCACATATCTGGAGTGTATTTATGGTATTGTTAACTTTGTATGATTAGTTGTTTTCTTTTATTCTGTCTCTGAACTTGGTGAGTCGCTGGACCGTTGGAAACGACAAGAAGCTTCGGGTCAGGCATGACGTCATATCCGCTGTTGCTAGGAGCTATCGTAACCACAACAAGCTTAGACTGTCGTAATGCTTTCGGAGCATATTTCCTTCTATCTTGGTTTTGTCTTCATCTCCTATACCTTATCTTTCCAACTAGTGAAAAGGGTATATTTAGAGGGATGGGGAATGATAGAGATCTGTCTGGCTTTCGCTATAGGACTGAATTCAGAAACTATTCGAGTTAATGGAAACGTACGTACGACTCTAGTGCTCACTCTGGGAAACTGCACAGGTTCCGAGATGGAGGAAGTCAACCTTCATGGTTTGGGCTAGCCTCAATTATATCTGAGCATGTGGAGGTGGTAAGGATATTGATTAACTAGGTGCGTTGGGTACGGTTCGCTCATGTGTGTTGCCTTGTGTTTTTCAGGATTTTTGAAGATCCAACAAGTGTCCGAGGCGTAATCGTACTCGTCCACCACCCAACAAGCATCCGTGGCGTAGTCGAGCTCTTCCACCAGCCAACACCAGGGAAGCAACTGACGTGCGTGTTCAACCATTACTGAATATGTGGACCGGGTGCAAAGTCTATATCTACCCGTCTCTGGGGAGTTGATTGTCCTATAATCAATTCCAGAGATATTATCAACTGTGCGGAGATCTTCTGAGAAGTGAGACGTTGCAGAGTTTCATCTTTCGGCACCCTGAGGAGCTGCAGGATCCAACCAGATAAGTCAGAGTAGCATCCTATAGCGGCTTGATTCCAGATGTGCCTTCATAATCTGTCTCATACCTCCGAGCAATGATGATCCCGGGAAAAGATGTAGCTTTGTAGAAAGACTTTTTCTCTATTCTTTATTCTTCAGAGATTTGAACAATCATCCTAGTTCTTCGTGCTACTTTTGATCTTTCTTGTTATGAAGCATTGAATACATTGAAGTTTTAGTTCACAAGACTTTCTGTTCTTCGAAAGGTTTGCTGTTGGTGAAATAATCGTCGTAGTCAGAGAGGTGTTCACGTTTTGTCATATTCACTGTTGTCTATATATTTGACTGTGTTTACGTTGTTTACCAGTCTGGGGGCAAATTTAGTAATGGGGATGTCTGGCCGAGAGGTACCCAAGAGTTCATAGTAACCCTGTGGAGTCAGAGCTCGAGTCACCTCATTCCTGAGACAGGTTGAATGGAAAGTTTGAACCGAGGGTTAGGCCTCTAGACGAACGAGAGCCACCATTCAAAACACCCCTGTCTCAGAGCACCTGAGGGATTTGTGAAAATATTCCGTAAGTAAAGGTGCGCGACAAAACTGCCATACGAAAGGGAGCTGTAACATTCGTTGATAAGCTCTGTCAACAGCATTATTCAAACTGATGTTCATAATGTTGTCACTCTATATTTCCTATGTCTTCCATTCACTCTCTACTCGTAACATTTTAGTGTAGCTCGCTGTGGCAGATAGTACCAGGGCATTCTTGTTAGGTGTCCAAATGATTTCATTTGTTGTTCTTTGATGACTTGTAAGACTGGCTTTATTCCAAGCATTTGTCTGATTTTGTATTCTGTTTTTCCTTGAAACTCCTGCAGCTCTTCTAAGGTATTTTATCTCTGTTGTCACAAGCAAGGGGAATGTAACATTGATAATCATTCACACATTGTAATAATTCACCATTATGTGTGACTGAGATTTATATCATAGTGAAAGGCCATGGTAAATGTATATCTATGAAACATGGATGAGATGTTTCTCCTCTCAAGCAAGGAACTGCCTCAATGGGTCCAATTCTCTATGCAGGATATAACTGGAATCTATGTTACCATCACTGGTACTCCATGTTATGTACGTGTGTATGCAGATGAAAACTCTACGAGGACTAGCCTCAGTACGGCATTGTGAAGAGGCACACATTAATATAGCCATCCACATGCTGTGGCCCATTTCATCCTTTCCAGGTAGATGTCTTGATTGTCCAGCCTGATCTTGAAGAGTCCTCATCCTGTATGTGTGGATCAGTCGTGGCTGATCAAGCAGTCGGAGGAAACAAGAAAATCAACTAAGTGGCATGTCAAGCCACTCAGAAACCCCCCACCAACAACAAGCTGTTGAATGATTTTGTTTATTTTGATGGCTGAATACCAAAACAATTTAGGTCCTGTTTTTTTTTTTTAAAATTCATTACAATATTATTGACTAAACGAATTCCTAGTTTTGGAGGCCATTCAATTTATATTAAACGCTTTTTATCAGTGAACACAAGTAGTTTAAGATAATATATCTAAACTTTACCCCAGGAGATCTATTGTCAGCAGTCATCGAACCCTTCTCCTTTAACCAGTTAGGTTGGAGCTATATATTTTAGGAGAAGATTCACAGACTGGTCTTTTTGGTATATTGTCTGTTTGGGAGGTATGTCTTTATATGCCTCTTTGGCTTTTCCTAACAAAGTCACTCTTTCAGCAGCAGTATTTTCGATGTCCATCAGTGTGGGCAGAGGGAGAATTATATTCTTTGACTCTCTGTGACATGGAGAATTCCCTTACACGGGTGAACCGGACCTGTGACAGAAGGCAGAATGCAGCAGAAGACAAATGGTGCCCTGTTCATAAAAACAGCCCATAAATACATGACACAAAAAAAAAAAACAACCTACCATTGAAGAAATCTTTTCTGGATATCTTTTTTCCTTTATATTTGGGGTCATCTGGAATAATTGCTGCTTGTTTCCGTAAACTGCTGGATGCAAAAGTTTCTACTTCATCTACACCATCCACAAGAGAAGCCTTGAACCCTGTAAATGAACCAGTGTCATAAAAAAATATCTAAATGAACAACAAGCAGGCTTCACAGACATGAATGAGAAAATGAATGTTATAGCTAGAAAGTGTTCACCAGCATATGACACACATATGGAGAATGATACATTTACAAATACAACTTTAAAAAATAACTCATTTGTAAGATAAAATGCCATAAAAATATCTACAATAAATCTCAACGGTAGGTGCAACATCGTTGTAAGAAAGAAATACTGGACAAGAAGTGTCCTGGACAGGTGGGATGGGTAGGCAGATGGCAGATGGTGACAAAAGACATGAAAATTGATGTTTTCCATATACCATCTATAAGTAACATATATCAGAAGAAGATAAATGGTACCCTGCTCATAAAAACATAATAAACATGAAAACAAACCTGCAGTAAATGAGCATTCACATAAATGTATGTTTAGAAACAACATCTTAGCAAAAGTTAATGGTTGATGTTTGGTGCAGGAGACCCTAGCACATGATACCACAACATCCAGCTTAAGAATGGAGGTGGAGGTGATCACTGCAGCTTTCTGCTGGCTAGAGAACATGACACACACATTGTAACTGACTCAGAAAGCATGCTGAGGAAGATCAGGACAGGCATGCCTCGCTGCGGAAGAGACGGGTGAGGAGTACTGTCTCAATTTTTTCACCAGGGCATGCCGGTGTGTTGGGAAATGAATAGGCGGACAGACTGGCTGGCTCTGCACAGCTTGGTGGAATACTGATGCATAATGAGGCAGACGTGGTTAGTGCCTTGTGGGAGAGCTTGTACGGTTCGGAGGAGAAGATTGATCACCACAGTGTAGTGAGATTGATGCAGTTGGGAGTGACGAGAGGTTCTGGCATATGCTCGAGGCTCAGAGGAAGGGCAAGACGGATGTTTAATCAGAATGCTACTGGCATCATTGGTATCGGAACTCTTTGCTGGCTGCGGAAGATGGGGACAAAAATACTTATGGGAATACCCCAAGTGCTGTGATATCGGTTCTTGAATCAAATCAAATCAATGTATGTCTCTTCTATGAAACACCAATGTAAACATTATAAAAACAGCTGATAAATACAATACGTGAGGTGAGATGTATAATACATTCAGTAGGACAAATGAGAAGAGACAGAGAAATCAATGAAGAACTAAGAACAATGGTAAGCCTAGTGCCAAAAAATTATTTTACAGAACATCAAAGAATTGAATGGTTTGACCATCTGGTTAGAATTAAACAAAATTAGGCATAAGCAGTAGGACAAAACAAAAGAAGAAAAATACTTATACTAGATAAAGACGTACCCTAGAGAGATGGGACAGGCAGGCACACAACAGATTACGGCAAAGGATGTAAGAGTTAACACTTTTAATATACCATCTACAAACGACAGATTACAGCAAAAAAATATATCAGATAGAGATTTACAGATGACAGATTACGGCAAAAAAAATATATCAGATAGATAGAGATTTACAGATGACAGATTACGGCAAAGGACGTGAGAGTTGACACTTTTAATATGCCATCTACAAACGACAGATTAAGGCTAAGGACGTGAGAGTTTCAGTTTACACTTTTAATGTACCATCTAAAAACGGCAGATTATTTACAGAAAAGAACGTGAGAGTTGACACTTTTATTAAATTAATGTACCATCTACAGACGTGAGAGTTGACACTTTTAATGGTACGATCTACAGATGACTGATTACGGCAAAAGGATGTGAGAGTTGACACTTCTAATGTACCATCTTAGATGGCATCTACAGAGCTGAGAGTTGACACTTTTTATTTTAATGACTAATAACTATCTACAGATGACTGATTGCGGCAAAAAGATGTGAGAGTTGATTAGTTAGTTAGTTAGTTGGGTTATCCTCATTGCACTCCGGACATGTCCATAGGTGCTCAGATCCTCCCCTCAGTATGAACCCCAACGTCCGATGGCTAATAGTACCAGTTCTATGTTGATTAACAAGTCTTCTGGCATGTCTGGTGTGCGTCTCGTTTTTTGCTGTACGGATCTTAATTCCCAAGTCTGCCATTCTGGCGAGTGATGTTGATTCACTGCCACCAAAGTCCTCTATCCTTCCCATTTCTCTGAGGGCATTGATAATATCAGCATGATCCATAGTCTGACCGTCGGTAGTGATAGCGGATCCAGCCAACCTGTCAGCTCTTTCATTTCCATCGACGCCTGCATGTCCCGGAACAAAAATAAAGATGACTCCACGCACAGTGGACTTCTGTAATGATTCAAGCCATTGTCTTCGCACTGAACCTGCCTGAACCCTCCGGATCATACTCATTGAATGTGTATGTGAGAGTTGAGTTGACACTTAATATAGTTATACCATCTACGGACAACAGATTACGGCAAAGAACGTGAGAGCTGACATTTTTAATATGCCATCCACAAACACTAAACGACAGATTAAAGCTAAGGACGTGAGAATCGATGACTTATAAAATATAAACTAAGTTAAGTGACTTACTGAGTTTTCGTTTCATTACAAACAAACTCAAAACATGTTTGCATTTCTTACCATCGACCAGATCTTCAGGATCAACGTCCAGTTCAGGGGCAGCATTCTGAATTTTAAATATATCGTCGAATAAAGAGCTAGATTTTCCTTTCGCTGTCATCGTAGCCGGGTGATTCGTGTTCAATTACGAGATTTAAAATGTGCTTTTCTAGACTTCAAAGAGGCGGCCATTTTGATTAGGGGAGAGAACTATGAATAAAGAAAAATGGGTATTCTGCCGTCAACGGTATTCCTTTGGTTTGTATGTGATTGGCACCTTTCCGTCTTACCAGACGATAGTGTCATGTTGCGCTTTAGGGAGGAATAGGACACAGCCCATGGCGATGGCGAGTGTGATTAGCAAAATACGACCTCATTAAGAAAAGTATTCTACAAATATAGCATGAGATTTCCGTTGTTGTCTACCTTTGTGTTTAGTGTGTTTTTTCTCAGACGCTCAGCTCTAATCCTTTCTGCAGTCATTTCTTCATTAGCATTCTCTTTCTGATGTGTCCCCTCCAATAACATGGTCCATAGCATTTTGTTCCCACGAGTCCACCTCAATACGTGTATCATTCATATCCCGCTTGCACACATCTTTATATCGAAATAGAGGTAGACCTCGACAGCTTCTACTTGTCTTTAATTCACCATAGACGATGTCCTTAGGGACTCTGCCATCCCCATTTTCCAGATGTAACCCAGTCACCTGAGCCTCCGTAGACTGAGCATTGAGAGGAAGGTTGTAATACATGCTCTTTCCAATACCGCAGTGTTTGTGATTTTGTCCTGCCACTTAGTGCTACTTATTCTTTTTAGGCTTTGCATGGGAAAGCTCTTTAGCCGTCTCCCCCTGATGCGAACAAGTTGACCAAGTTTCACTGCCATAAAGCAGAGTATTGAGAATACAAGCCCTATAGACATCAGTTTTTGTTTTAATCGTGAGCTTTCTGTTCTCCCAAACTCTTTTTATTAATTGTATCATTGTTGTTGCTGTTAATTTCTTGCTCCAGTGATAGTTTGTTATTTACTGTAGAACCCAGGTTGGTAAAATAGTCAACCGTCTCCAGATCTTCACCATCAATGTAGACTGTAGGTCAATCGTTAACAGTTTGCGCCATAACCTTTGTCTTCTTTTTGTTGAATGTTAGTCCAAATTCAATGAGCAAATAGAGAAAGTAAACATTGCAGTTCCTCTTCTGAGTGGGTAATATTTGCTGCATCATCTGCAAACAGCAGCTCTCTGATAAGTATTTTCCTTATCCATGTTTTTTTTTTTTTTTTCAGCCTAGGAGCATTGTAGAGGCTGTCGTCAGGTTAAGAATATATGAATATAACAACCTCTTGAACTGGAAAAGAATATTTCAGAAGAAGTGAGAAGCAAATTCCAAAGAGGGTAGGAGCAAGTACACAACCTTGCTTCCCTCCATTGTTGATTACAAACTTCTCCGATGTTACACCATCAAAGTTGATTGTACCTTTCAGACCTGTGTGGAACGACTTAGTAATACTAAGCAGGGTGGGTAGACACCTAATCTTCTTCAGCGTACTGAACAGACCTTTTCGACTAACCACATCAAATGCCTTGATTATTTCAATAAAAGCCGCTTACAGCGGCTGATTTTGTTTCACGGCATTTTCCCCGCAACTGTCAAAGTGAAAATATCATATCAGTGTGAGAGACCGGTTCCCACGAAAGCCACTCTGACTTTGGGAAAACTTGATCTCCTAGGATCTGGAGTATTCGCAGAAAAATGCTCGGGAAGCGACAGAGATGTGGCTTTATAGAGGAATAATAAGAACACCTCTGACAGATCAAGACCTTCTGTAGCTGAAGGGCCATGGTGTTGACGTCATCAGCTTGACATGACACCGCTCCGGGCCAACGATGCATTCCGTTTTCACTCTGACAGTCATGTTGTTTTCGGTGCGTTCCCGCCGTTCCCTGAGTACTCCCCACAAGACTATTAAAAGAATAAGCTCGAGAATAGAACATGCAAATAGGTGTATACACACATACAAACTAAAGAAAAACTCGCTTAGGGTGTCCCATTTTCAGCTCGAAATAGACAGAATGACATAGAAACAGAAATTGCAAAACTACTTATATTTTAGCTGGAGAATATGAACATAATCCACTGAAAATTAGTGAGTGAACTTAGCCACTGGCTGTACTACTGACATCATCAACTGAGGCATGACTGTGTAACCGGTATACTACTGAAATCATTAACTGAGGCAAGACTGTGTAACCGGTGTACTACTGACTTTATTGACTGAGCCGAGATCTATCCCATATAGAAGAACTTGATATAACTAACAAGAGGCCATATCAAGGGTCTTAGTCTGCACACCAGAAAAAGAGCAAAGTCTTGCATGCAGCATACATGCAGTTTTAAAAAAAAATCAGCTTGCTATTGACAAGGAAAGGATATAAACTCCGGCCACATACAAGTCGATACAATGAAAATGAAATGAACGGAAACACATAAGTACCTAGGTGCAAACTTCAACTGCTCCAACATTCTGAGAGAATAAATACAATCTAGAATACAATCTGGAAATAAGGTATACTATGCCCTTCAACATCTTATAAAGTCAAAGTGTCTGTCTCGCAACACCAAGATTAAAATATATAATACGTTGATAGGACCAATCGTTTTATATGGCTAATAGACAGAAATGGTTGGGGCATATTGCGAGAATGTCAGATGCAGAGAAGGGACAACTTTTTACACAAGGAAGATGAATGGTCCTAGACCATGAGGCAGACCAAGAAGAATATGGAGAGATAATGTCCAGACAGACCTGCAAAAACTGTGTGTTACCAAATGGAAAGAGAAGGCCAGCCAGAGAGAAGGATGGAAGTGGGTGGTATCTGCAGCAATGAACGTCAAGGGCTCCAAATGCTGAAGAAGAAGCATTTGCAATATATTAACATGTGTTGGCGGTCTATGCTGGGCATTTACTGGCAGTTTATGTCAAAATCTGTTGAAAGTTTATATTAGAGATGTATATGCAATTTATGTTAAAATGAGTTGGCAGTGTATATGAGAAATAATTATATGGCAATAGTTTCCTGAAGAAATATTGTACCAGTTCTTTTAGGACCGATAATTAGCAGATCTTTTTATAACTATATTAACATTTCTTCTTAGAGATTGGTTAACAATTCCCCCTAGAAATAAGGTAATGGTTCCTATTATACAGACAAGTTTTTGTAGTTTGTCTTTGAACTTTATCAAAACTCCTCTAAGAAATTCTTCAACGCTCATTTTAGAGGCATTGTGAAACAAAGAGACACAAAGTTATTAGAGTGTAGTATTATTTTCCTTTTGCCTTTGAGGGACTGCTCCACGAAAACACAGCGCACTGAAGATAAATCCAAAGCAAATCACACACAGAATTTATTAAATCCACTCCCTGAAAACACCACTTATAAGTGAATCAACATTGAAGATGAAACCACTTTTTAATATTACTCAGTGACAAGAAAAATGAAACCGAACACACACTGAAACACAAATGTCAGCCATTTTTCTTCGGCCTGCACCAGTGACGTGATCGGATTTTGTTGCCATACCTTCCCTAAAGCTGGCCATGGACAGAAAGAAAAACAAAGTAATGAAGATGTCTTGAAAGAAAACTGACTCATGATCAGAACTCATTGCCCACTTCAGGGGGATGCAATTTATATTATTTGGTCATGTCTAGGAATAAAGCCAGTCTTACAGGTCATCAAAGAACAACAATAAAAGTGGTTTGGACACCTAACAAGAATGCCCTGGTACTATCCGCCACAGCGAGCCACACTAAAACGTTACAGCGGGTATATAGCGAGTGGAAGACCTCGGAAAATATGGAGTGATGGGATTAAAAACAGCCTTACAGAAATGAACATCAGTCTTAATAGTGCTCTTGACAGAGCTCATCAACGAACATTACATCTCGCCCCGACACTTCGATGAGGTACATGCTGGAAGAGAAGAAGAAGAAGAAAGTCATGTCATGAGAAGGAGAACGCTTCGTAATGCCGGGATGCGGGGTTCGATCCCAGCTGCAGGCCATGCGCCTTGCGTTGGTTTCGACAGTAGTATCAAAGAAGCCGACCTTCCAGGAAGCAATGGCAAACTACTGGACGTAAATTTGCCTAGAAAAACCACACAACAGCCAGGGGCTGTTGGGGTTGGTTTTGCAACGTCCTGTAAAGGATACGCAACTAACCTTAACCATGAGAAGGAGAATACTAGGGAACATGGTGCATAGTGGGAAAGTTCGAAGGGAAAAGCCGCATAGGAAGACCAAGAGAGAAGATGCTGTACAGTTTTACATCATGGCATGGAAGCAGCGGAGGATTTCGGTACAAACTAAATAGGCCACGGACAAAGAACTGACAATCTGCTGGGGTCTAAACATTTCACATTTTTCTTCTTCTTCACAAATGCACTTTTCTTTTAAATATATTTTAAATGCAATTTTCTTTTAAATATATTTTAACCCCCCCCCCACCCCCCCCCCCCCCCCACCCCCCTTTTCCCCCGAGAAATCTTTTCATTTGCAACTTAGAACCTTTTGGAAGATTATATAATATACACTTTTGCAAACACATTTTTATTATTTTTTTCAATAAAAGCTAAACGATAATATATTTCTTTTATCCATATATTTAAAATGCGTACATGCTATTTAGGCAGTAATGTAGATAAAGATGGGAAAACTGATAGAGATAATAAAATAGGAATATAAAAGGCAAGAGGAGCTTTCATAACACTAGGGAGTTTTTGGAGGTCAAAAGAAATTAAAAGAAGCAGAATAAGAAACCAACACGGAACTGGTGAAGCGCTTCACGGTGCGGATTTACTAAGGTGGGGATCCGATTACTTTTAGACTGAATGGTTCGATGTGCAATGAGGACAATTTGCAGTCTAACTAGCAATAGCTATAAATAGGAGCATCGTCAAGTCTAAATTCGACCTTATCAAAACTGATTGACAGTACCCCAGACAGAAGGTGGTGGATAGACATGACTACCAACGGCATATGGCATATACTATCAGAAGGGGAATCCTGTAAAAGGAGGCCATCCTTCGCCTTTACTTAAAAAAAAATATTTGGTTACCC